GGCTGTGTCGGCCTACTTTGGGAACAACGACCTTCTAGTAGTTGGCCATGTCATAGTGCTCATTGTCTTCTGTGGAGGTGGTCTCGGGCTGGTTGGATGGACAAAACAAAGGCTCGGCAATCCGCTAGTCAATGTGGCCTGCTCTCTGACTTCCCTTGCCCTCATCACCATTTTGACCAAAGAGGGGGCTGTCCAGGCTGCTACGTTCTCCTACGTTAAAATCTGGCAGGTCTTGAAGATGGTCATCATGGGTTGTGCCGCATCAACAGCTGTATCCCTTCTAGTAAAGCCAACGTCAGCGCGCAGCGAATTCCGCGATACTTTTATCAAATCCACCGATGCCATGGCAGAGATGCTAAACGGCATTGCGCTCAGTTTTCTCTCCGGGTCTGAGCAAGACCTCAAGAGCGACTCGTATGTCAAAGCTTCAGATCGGCTGCAAACGACGTTCAAAGCCCTGGTTAAGAATCTTGGAGAAGCTAAGTTTGAGCACTATGCGTTGGGCACTGAAGCAGAGTACAAGATCAACGCAAGGCTGGTCAAATGTGTTGAGACGCTGATGCAGAGTCTGGGTGGATTGCGAAGTGCTGCCGAGACGCAGTTTACGTTACTTGCTCAGCCGGCGCCTGGTGAGGTAACTTCTCAACCTATACCTACTAATGGAACGGTCACTTCTTCAATCTTCTCAGAACAGGCCATGTCGCAAAGCCCTCAGCTGATTTCTCCCACGCTGAGGCATTCAGATAGGCGGGGCAGCATCCTCGCCTCTATCGATGAACTGCCAGAAAGCTCCGAAGCGTCCGCAATCTGCTCAGCTGCTGAATCAGACGATGAATCCAATCCAGTAAATCAAATGCTGGCCAGATCTATCAATCTTTCAAAGTCGAACCTGACGCCTGCTGACATTTTTTCCGTCTTCATAGCTCAGTTGGGCCCACCGATGGTGAGTCCATAACTCTGAGTTTTCCTTGCACTGCTAATTAAAGTAGAAATCGCTTGCATACACCCTACGTGAAGTACTTTCGGAATTACCGTTTGGACCTGGACCAGAGTACAACATGGCTATCAATGAACACTTCCGTCACAGCCTGGTTGACGCGAAGGCTCTCTTCGCGGACGCACGACGAGAGGCTCTTTCTGGTATCTACACGAGCAAGATTCCAAATAGGACAAGTTCAGCAGCAGTTGCAGCCGACTTTGAAGAAGTTGCCGCAAGCTGCGGGTATTTCAGTTCGTCCTTGATTGATTTTGCTGAAGATATGGTCGGGTTCCTTGACATTCTTGAGGAGCTCAAAGCCAATGTCAATCGCTATCCGCGGCAAAGAACTTTCAACTGGCTGAAATTTTGGAAGACTTGGCACAAGAAGAGTAATTCTGGCGACGACTCCGAAGTGGCTAATTTCATGCAAGAAACAGACCCACAGACAGTGGGTGGCTCGCGCGAGATTCACAATCCTATTTACAGGAAGTCGACGCGTGGAGATCCGTACAAGCCAGAGAACGAACAGCCACTATCCTACCGTATATGGACGTCACTTGCCGTCTTCAGAAGGGACGACCTCAAATATGCTGTCAAGGTTGGCATTGGTGCAGTCCTTTGGGCCATGTGGTCCTTTATTCAATCAACAAGAGGCTATTACAGTCGGTGGCGTGGCGAGTGGGGTCTATTGTCGTACATGTTGGTTTGCTCTATGACCATAGGCGCTTCCAACACCACAGGGTACCAGCGTTTTGCTGGTACTTGTCTGGGCGCTGTGCTAGCAATTGCTGCATGGATCGCGGCTGACGAACATGCTCTTCTTCTGGGCTTTTTCGGTTGGGTCATTTCCCTGTTCTGCTTCTACATCATTGTCGGCAAGGGCAAGGGACCTATGGGCCGTTTCATCTTGCTGACGTACAACCTTTCTGCGCTCTACGCCTACTCTCTTTCCGTTAAGGACGATGAAGATGACGATGACGAAGGTGGCATCTCACCTGAAATATGGGAGATTGTAACTCATCGAGTGGTTGCTGTTATGGTTGGTTGTCTTTGGGGTATTATCGTAACAAGGATAATCTGGCCAATTTCCGCACGCCGTAAGCTCAAGAAAGGCACGTCTTTGTTGTGGCTCAAGATGGGATTGATCTGGAAACGCGGGCCACTTAAGACTGTTCTTGAATCCAATGAGCACACGAGCAGGACACAATCGTTCATGTCGGAACGCGAGGAGATCGAACTTCGGAGATATCTATCTCATTTGGAGACACTGCGTGTAGCGGCTGCTGCGGAGTTTGAGCTTAGGGGCCCCTTCCCAAACAAGAGTTTCCAGATTATCCTTGGTGCAACGAGTCGCCTACTGGACAGTTTTCACGCAATGAATGTAGTTATACTAAGAGAGCTGAAAGCGTCGGATGGTGAGAAGGAAGCTCTGAGGTATACAAAGAAAGAGTGGACAGAGCTGAGTTGGCGCATCAGCCATTTGTTCTCAGGTGAGCTTCATACCAAGTGACGATGGGAGCTGAACGCTGACAAATAACAGTCATGGCCTCCTCTATGAAGCTAGCATACCCGCTCAATGATGTTCTACCTAACATCGAACACACACGTGATCGGTTGCTTGCCAGAGTCTTCGAGTTTCGACAGCAGGATCTCGGCAAAACCATTGCTACCGACGAAGATTACGAGTTGTTGTATGCCTATGGTGGGTCATTACCGTTTATACTTGAAATTGATCATCGCCACTAACCTCAATACAGCACTGGTGACTGGACAACTCGCGCACGATTTGAATGTTATCGGACAGGAGATTGAGAAACTATATGGTGTCCTGAGCGAGGAGGACCTAAAGTTGCAGTAAGAATGCATCGTTTCGCTACTTAATGAACCCTTTGTACCCTAAGTGTTGAGCACGTCTAATGTCATTACCAATGAGTTTGTACTCGAGAATAATTGGACATGTGCAAAGAGTTCTTTCAGATCTAGTGCGCGATGATGGCAAAATGACTCATAATGTGACATCCCATACGTTGTACCATATGCGTTTAGGGATAGGGCAACCGAATGCTACACACCAATCATCATGGATACGAACAGCAAGTTACTATTTGCACGTGCTTGCGTGATGTTCAATTGGTGACTAGAGACATCTTGACGTAGAGATTCCGTTTTATCGGTATTTATCCACCGGAAATAGAGTACGTGATACCCAAAAGGCATTCAAGGGCTCTTGTCTTAGAACCTCTAGTGTGGCGGTGCCTGTGGGCGCAATGCAATGCTCTCGCGGTATGTAACTTGAACAACATGGATGCATCCCGTGATTGCCAGACTCGTCTAGTTGAAGAGATGACAATGCCACCCAAGCATTACCGGCATGTTGATGTGCATACATCCAATGGGCTTAGCAGAGCCATTGCCATGCATGCGACACACCTGCTCAGCATCTAGTCGCTGTTGTGTTGGTGGGAATTTGGCTAGTGGTCACGTGGTGGCCTTGGCGCTCTAAGCGATCACGCACCTGTGTTGGAAATTACCTCGCACCTCTCAGCTTCAACAACGGTAAGTCGACAACGACCGCGGACGACAACAACATCGAAAATGTAAGGAATCCCGAACAAATATCCTTCAACACTGCTTCGAAGAGCAAATCCGTTCCCGCTGCACACTCGGCGCCTCGCATTCGTGCCTCTGAGGCGCTTGTGCAGTGGCGAACCCCTCTTCCGACGACCACCTCCTCCGTCGCCAACAACCGCACAAATGATCAAAATACTGACATGGGGTGTTTCATAGGGTCAACCTCCGCACTCAGAAGCGCCTCGCGGCCTCCGTGGTCGGTTGCGGAAAGCGCAAGATCTGGCTTGACCCCAACGAGGTCAGCGAAATCGCCAACGCCAACTCCCGCCAGACTGTCCGCAAGCTCGTTCAGGATGGTCTCATCATCCGCAAGCCCGTCACCATGCACTCTCGTGCCCGCGCCCGGGAGCTGAACGCCGCCCGACGAATTGGCCGACACCGTGGTTTCGGTAAGAGGAAGGGTACCAAGGACGCTCGTATGCCAAGGTATGCAATCACGTTGCCTCTTTAATGCCGGATATGGGGACGAAGAATTGTTTTTTTGGGATGTCATGGACAATGGGAACCGTTAACTAATGCGGATGTGCAGCCAAATCGTCTGGATGCGCCGTCTCCGTGTCCTCCGCCGTCTCCTCGTCAAGTACCGCGCCGCCGGCAAGATCGACAAGCACCTCTACCACGAGCTCTACCTCCTCTCCAAGGGTAACACCTTCAAGCACAAGCGTGCTCTCGTTGAACACGTATGTTGACCATGACATCATGACTATGTCAATTCCCCGCTCCATGGTCGGTAACTAACGCACATGTCAGATCCACAAGGCCAAGGCCGAGAAGGCCCGCGAGAGGGTCATCAAGGAGGAGATGGACGCCAAGCGTGCGAAGACCAAGGCGGCTCGCGAGAGGAGGCAGGAGCGTATCCAGCAGAAGCGCCAGGCTCAGCTGGGCGACGAGGAGTAAAGAATGGATGTCGTGACGAACACCTGGCGTGGGTCTTTTCAAGGTTAAAGGAGGGCGTCAATCTCCTTTTTATCTGGGCATATGCGGTCATGTTTCATGTTACGTCTGTGAAGGACTCTTCTCTCCATGCATATTCGACCGACAAGGGTGCCCCCTCTCTGATTTTCGATGCTATGACTGTACCAAAAATAAAAGGGATATGAGCATCGGCATTAGAAACCAGTAGTCAAACTTGGAGTTGGTCTGCTTTGATCCATTGAATGTGTTTTTGGCCTTTGTGATGGTATGATGCCATTGCTATATGTGCTCAATGAATGTTACTGGTCAGGCAAAGCAAGTGACACTAATAAGATTGATCGATTACAAAGTCCCCCGAGTGCTTCTTTCACAAGTAACACAATACACGCCTATTGCCTGCACAGGGTATCAATGAATCTCTAACGCCCAATGTAAACGCCATATCGACTCCCAACTCCCACGTGTTGCCTCGTGTTTAGATCTGTGAAAAGTTAGCATCAATGCTTGTACCGATGCGGTTCTGGCTACTCACCAATTTCAGAGCGCTTCTATGCACAGCCCGTGTAAAGTTGAGCATAGCCTTAGCCTTGTTGTTGCCCCTCTGGAGCCTCCTGTATGCCTCTTGCACATGACTTGGCTGCACTGGTTCCCTAGCCTCCTCTGGGGGATCAAACAAGCCTCGTTCGCGCTTCCTCTTGAGGCGATTCTGCTCGCCACCGTGATTTTTCTTGTACAGATCCTCTGCATCCTTGACCTTGAGCGCCTCCTCGGTAAGCGTCTGGACAATTTCAAACGTCAGGAAACCCAGGATATCGATGATATCGTCGGAGGGTTTGGAATCGGTGATGAGGCCGAATCCCGCCCATTCTTTGAAGCGCTTGCTCTTGCGGTAGGTAAAGGATGCTTGACGGCAGTCGGACCAGTGCACGTATTCCTCACGTGTCATGTTCTTTGTCCGCTCGTCTGCGTTCTTGAGGCGCTGCAAGGTTGCGTAGTTCATCTCCTCTTCTTCCTCGTCTTCCACGTCGTCTTTTTGAGGGGGGAACTCGGTAAAGAAGGATTGAACGTCCCAGACGAGATCGACTTTGGCTCGCTTGGCTTTCTTGGAGGCGTCGACGGGAGCGGCACCAGGTCCGCCTGCGCCTACTACGCCAACAGCTATGTCTGCGTCTCCGGCTCCGACGTCGGCGCCTGCATCGCCGCCTTTGTCATCGGAGTCTTTGACGGAGCGTCGGACATCTTTCCACTGGAGGAAGTGGCGGAGACGCGAGATTTTGGCGCGGTCGTGCCGGATAAGCATGAATAGGTCGTCAGTGGAGATGGATTTTGAACCACGGCGGGTGGCAAGGGCGGTACATTCCCGCAACATGTGCTGTACTTGGTCTTGTACGATCGACTCGATCAAGGTGGTTGTTTCGGGTGAAGGTTCGCCAGTCTCACCAGAGACGAACATCATCTGCTCAACGGTTAGGCCCAGGCCAATTTCCAACGGGAATGGATCTTCTGGCGATAGGCTTTGCGGCATTGATGGCAAGGGAGGTGATGGGAATGATGCTGGTGAGGCCATGATACTGGCTTGTTACAAGGTAGGTGGGGATATGAGATTGAGTTGAGGAAGTGGGTGAAGAACAAGGCTGGCTCTGGCATGCTGCCTATAACCTTTACCCAGAACTCGGATACGAACATGTTGGGTAGGGTGAAAGACAGGCGGAACGAAGGTGAACAAGAATAGGCTGCCCCTGGCTCACACAGATAAATGCGAAGTAAGAGAAGGGCGAGTCGCCTGTCCTTGAATCGCCCTCTCTATAAGAGATACAAAACAAAAGACAGTTCAAAAAAAACTACCAGTCGAGGCGACAGCCCATATTCCGACGATGCGCATATGGAGCCTGTCGCAAACCGGAAAGGAATCCACTGAAGGGATAAACAAAGTAGGTGATAATGCCATTTACCCTAGTCTCACATGTCCTTCTCTTTCTCTCATGCAGTCTCCAGGAAAGCGGAATAGCGAAATGGATAGATGACATGGACAATAAGATGAAATGAACTAACCTGCTGGATCTCCGTCCGATACTTGGCCAACTTATCCTTGTCCGACATGATGGCTGACTTTCCGCACCCAAGACTCTAGAAATCATAAAAGACGTGTCGCGCGATCAACAAAGTTCTATGGCACAGAAATTAGATTACAACAGGCGCTATGTTTGGCGGTGGGCGTGAATGAAGGCCAGGTTGCCGACGCGGTTTGCGGTCTGCTAGCGTGATCTCAAACGATGCTGGGCTTCATGCAACAACGCTATGCCGAAACGGGCTCAGCCCTACGAGCCAAAATGGGCCCCGCCAACTTTTTTGTGAATTTGGCCGCATACCCCACCATCACCGATAATTTATTCACCAAATAAGTTAAGAATCGCCGAAAATGCTGTACCTCGTGGGTCTCGGCCTGGCGGATGAGAAGGACATTACTGTCAAAGGTTTGGACATTGTGAAGAAGGCCGAGCGCGTCTATCTCGAGGCATATACGGCGGTACTGCTGGTGGAGAAGGATGTGCTTGTGAGTTGAAGACGAAGTGAATAGATAAAGCGCTCGAAATCTAATTGTCACGGCAGTAGGAAGCATTCTATGGCCGCGAAGTCATCATTGCGGATCGTGAAATGGTCGAGTCTTCAAGCGACGATATCCTCAAGGACGCCGACAAGCTCGATGTCGCATTCCTCGTAGTAGGGGACCCATTCGGGTAAGGAGCCTCTATCAGCCATTCCAATTATATCTAACATTATCATAGCGCGACTACGCACACTGACCTTGTCCTCCGTGCCCGCGAGCTCTCCATTCCCACCCGTTCGATTCCCAACGCCAGCATTCTCACTTCCATTGGCACCACTGGCCTACAACTCTACAACTTCGGACAAACCGTATCCATGGTCTTTTTCCTCGATAACTGGAAGCCCGCCTCCTTCTACGATCGCATAAAAGAGAATGTCTCCATCGGCTTGCACACGCTTGTGCTCCTAGATATCAAGGTCAAGGAGCAGAGTCTGGAGAACATGGCCAGAGGACGCAAGATCTATGAGCCACCGCGGTACATGACAGTCGCACAGTGCGCGCAGCAGATGCTGGAAATTGAAGAGGATGTGAAGAAGGAAGGTGCATACACAAAAGACAGTCTGGCTGTTGGTGTTGCAAGAGTAGGAGCAGAAGACCAGCAGATCGTTGCAGGAACACTAGAACAGCTTTGTGAAGCGGATCTAGGCAAGCCGCTGCATAGTCTGGTGCTGCTGGGAAAACGTACGCATGACCTTGAGAGGGATTTCCTCGAGGAGTTTGCTGTGGATAAGGAGAAGTTCAAGGAGATTTGGAAGAGGGATTATGAGGGAAAGGCGTAAAAGCCCAGCAACCTGTCATATCTCTGCAACGATAAATATAAATATCGCTTTTCAGTAGCATACTACTGCATCTATGAGATATGGTGACCCGTTGGGCGAATATCTAGTAGCCAAGCAAACTTCTAATACCGTCTTTTACTGTATTGTACACAACATCGCATCACACTCACTTCTAGCTTCTTCCTTCTTCACCCATTTCTCTTCCCTTTTCCCCTGTCTCCTTCTCTCTCTAATCAATTTCTCTCGCTCATATGGACTCGGTCCTCCGTGTTTTCCGCACTCAAAATCAATCCATCGGCATTTGACAGCAGGCGCTGCACAAGTCTCATCAGTCTTTCGTGCATTTTTGCATTCTTCGATGTATTCGTCTGTGCAGGGAAGATTGCCTTTGGGCCCATGCCCGTACCCTTTGCGCTCACAGCGTGTGTAGTGGGTTTGGTATGTTGTGCACATTTCTGTGTGGTTGTAGGTGGTTGTAGGTGGTTGAGTTGGTGATTGGAGAGGGTGATGATAAGAAAAGGTTATATAATATATATATATAGATATAGATATAGATATATCATTGTGGTGGTGTGCAAAAATGGAAGTCGGAGGTGTGTGTGTGAAGTGTTCCAGCAGCAAGGAGTATGCGCATATTCAATCACGTTCAAATTCCTTCACCTGCTGCGGGTCTATGAATGCTCTTCTGTTGATTGTGTTTTTCAAATTTCTTTGTTCTAGATATGGTCATTATCGAAATTGTGTGTTGGCTTTGAACCTTGGATTGCGATTCTCTTGTGATGGCGCCCCCCCCCCCTGCCACCAACGTACCATCATCCCAGCTGATTTTGCACATTAACTCTATAATGTGTATAAATTCAAGCTGACTCAGATACGCCAAGTTCTCCGTCTAAATACGTAGAGGGGCCGCCGCAGTACCACAAAAGTAGTATTATCTGACGTCATACTTAATCACCATTGGTTAATCTAGTGGTGCTTCCATCATGCTCCAGTTTCCACGACCTTCTTGCTTACAACCCTCAAGAACCCGCCTATTCCGACTCGACGATTCATCGGCATGTCAAAACCTAACGTTGATATAAACGACCCCAGTTCCCCTGGCGGAAAACTTCTCCAAGATATTATTGATACACATACATCTCATGCACCTTTCCCTGTAGAAAGAAACAGCGGCACAGAATTATATCGAAAAATCAGCGACAAAGAAGACAAAATGCAAGATGCAGCGTCGCAGGGTCATAGACCAGGCCTACAGCGGTCAAGTTCGAGACGTACAGCAAACGGATACATGCCCATCGAAGATTATGGGTTGATCGGGAACATGCGGACCTGTGCAATGGTTGCCATGGATGGCGGACTTGATTACATGTGTTGGCCGCATTTTGACTCGCCATCCGTCTTCTGCCGTATTCTTGACAAAGAAAAGGGTGGCCACTTCACTATAGGCCCAACGAACGACGGCTTCTGCACTACGAAACAACAGTATCTTCCCGCGAGCAACATTCTCCAGACACGCTACTTGAAGGAAGAGGGCGTCATGAATGTTGTGGATTTTTTCCCAAGGCCAAATGACAAGAACTGGGATTCCCAGTTTCATGCTAATGTCATCGCGAGTGAGCACAATGGCAATGTGCCCGAGCGTCCCGATTTGAAGAAGTGGCTTGTTAGGCGAGTGGAATGCATGCGAGGCACCGTCGAGGTGAGTGTACAGGTGTTTCCTGCATTCAACTATGCTCGAGACAAGCACACTACCGAGATCGCCGACCTAGGCAAGACTCCACAAGGACAGGGCCTACAGCGCGTCATCTTCAAGTCTAAAGACCTATCTCTGGAATTAAATGTCACCATCGACTGTGGTGGTGAGCCAGAATCGTCATGTCCAAGAATTGCTTTTGAGAAGACGCCCGAGCCCCAGAATTTGGGGGATGGGGTCACGGCTACTTTTACATTGACCGAGGGGCAGGCAGTGTCCTTCATTCTGCGCGATGCAGAAGATCACAGCCCAGACATAATTGAAACCAGCCAAGTTGTTGCGTTGCAACAGAGCACTCATAAGTATTGGGCTAGATGGATCCAGCAAAGCAAGTATGCGGGTAGATGGGAAGAAATTGTTACGAGGAGCCTGCTTCTCTTGAAGATGTTGACATTTGAGCCGAGTGGAGCAATCGTTGCTGCGCCGACTTTCTCTTTGCCAGAAGACTTTGGGGGTATGTTGCCTCCGGAAGTGATGAAGCATATACTGATATGGTGTAGGGTCACGCAATTGGGACTATCGCTACTCATGGGTACGAGATGCGTCTTTTACGATATACATCTTTCTCCGAATGGGTTTTAGCCATGAAGCCGAAGCCTACGTCAGTTACATCTTCCAGCGTGTCAAGGAGACTAAAGCACGCCACGGAGCACTTCCAATCATGTTTAGTATCCATGGTGCAAGTGACTTACCTGAGATTGAGCTTCCGCACTTGGAAGGCTACAGAGCGAGTCAACCTGTTCGTATTGGGAATGGAGCGGCCTCCCATATACAACTTGACATCTATGGTGAACTGATGGATGGAATCTATCTCGTAAATAGATTCGGACGCCCAGTTTCGTATGATCAGTGGCTTTCAGTTCGGGAGATCGCGGATTACGTCTGCACCATCTGGAAGGAGCCAGACATGTCAATCTGGGAGGTTCGTGGCATGAAGCAGAACTTTGTTTATAGCAAGATGATGTTGTGGGTAGCGCTTGACCGAGCGTTGCGCCTTGCAGACAAGAGGAGCTTCCCGTGCCCACACCGGGCAGAGTGGTACCGAGTACGTGACGAGATTTATGAAGAGGTCATGGAAAAGGGATACAACTCCCAGTTGGAGTGCTTCATCCAGAGCTACGAGTCGAACGAAGTTCTGGATTCGGCTGTGCTAATAGCGCCTCTGGTCTTTTTCATAGCGCCAACGGACCCTCGCTTCCTGAAGACGCTTGACCGGATACTAAAACCTCCTGAGAAGGGGGGCTTGACTAGCACCGGCCTGGTATTCAGGTACAACCACGCGCTTAGTGATGACGGTGTAGGTGGGCAGGAAGGCAGTTTTTCCATGTGCACTTTCTGGTTGGTCGAAGCACTTACACGAGTAAGCACTCCAATTTCCTACATAACCTCATTCTATTCGCGTGTATCTTTGTCTAACGAATACAGGCTGGGGCATACGACGAGAAGTATCTTTTGCAGGCTGTGACGATGTTTGAGAGCATGCTGAGTTTTGGAAATCATTTGCATATCTTCTCCGAGGAGATTGCGCGGTCAGGGGAGCAGTTGGGCAACACTCCACAAGCTTTTAGCCACTTGGCTTTGATATCTGCAGCATTTAACTTGAACAAGACGTTGAGCAGCCGACACCGGTAGATGGGGCGGTATCGAGGGTTGGCTGAGGACATAAAGAGAGCGACGCAATGCAGTATTACTAGTCAATACGAAACCGGGGCGAGTTGGTCTAGACGTCTACGCTAATCTGGAGGAACCGCAATGATCAGCAATCAGTGCGTCATGGCTGCACTGTTCTCCAGCCGGAATGAGATTCAATGTCGCTAAATTGATTGGGCCAGGTATTTACCGCCAGACGCCTATGAGGGCGTGGCGCACACAACAGGTCGATCCCCTGACAGTGACACGCACAGTGCAGCGCACTGACTGGATAATCTCTTTCAACACATGTCCCAGTCTCGAATGCCTTCAAACTTCCAGCAAGCAGTTCCTACACATCGCCAGCAGGCCATGATATAGTACACGTCTTCCTTTTCGTTTCCATTCATTTTTTGTCGACTATCAGCCAACCTGCCCTCTTCTTCCGGCCGTCCCGCATCATCCGCGCAACATACGTAGCGTCGTCATCGTTTGCTCTACCAACGCGTTCCATCCCAGGCAGTACCAGCATTAATACACCACACCATGTCGCTCCCGTCCAACTCTTCAGTCGCGTCAAGCCTTGTGACAATTGACGAAAAGTACGAGATGAGTGGCCCGCGCAACGACGATATGCTGGTTCGCGACTTTGGTTGGCCCTCAGTCTCTCCACGCTACCACGGTGACCACACACCCGAGAGCAACCCAGACTGGGATCACAATCCGCTCGAATGCGAAAAGGCGAAGCAAGAGGCTTTTGAGAGGATGGAAAAAAGTTACGCTTTGTACATGGCGAACCTAGGGAAAAAAGTGCCTGTGCAGAAGAAGAAGACTTCTTGGTCCAGGTTCCTACCTTGGGTGCGATAGAAGTGGGCGACCTGGCGATGGTGCGCCTGCTTGCTGCGACGTTTGAAAAAGATGGATACCTGTTTGGCAGACTGATGCATATACATTGCAAGGGACAGCCATTGTTATACGAAAAGAGAATGTAAGACTTAATAGCCGAGTAGGAGTGGGGACTGGGGCAGAGGGGCGGTGGTGCACTGCCCCAAACCCCAGGTATGGTTCGGAGGCTGCTCGGCCTTGTAGTATGATAGACCATACTGAGCAAGGAAGATGCGGGGTTGGAGCGCACCTTTTGGCTTGTCTGGAAGCCGTTTTTTGATACCCTTTTTCTTTGTCATTTCCTATGTTTCGCAGAGTCTTTTGCGCGTTGTTTTGTAGTCTTTTCAACGCATGTTGTTCTTGTATACCCCCCCGATTTAGATGTGTTCTTTCTGCAATGGCGTCCGAGCCGCATAATTCTATGTAGTACACAATATATGCATGGACCGTTCTGAGCAACACTATTCCCATGTCGGTGACGTGCATGTTTTACCGCGGACTGAGTATCGCGGGGTTCATCTTGTCCTTTGAGGCGATCGGGAATTCTCTTCCAATCCACTATTGTGCGGCGGTTGACCATTTCCGGTCAAGGCATAAACATAACTAGAAAGGGCTCCACTACACAACGTGTCCAGTTTTTTTCTCGGCGCAGCAATCTCAGAAGACTTGCATCTTGTGAATTGCTGATATTGGAGTAGTCTGCTTACATATTTCTGTTCTATCCCATCACCACTTGCCAACAATTCAATCGCCATTTTCATCTCGGACAAAAGCATCCACCATGGGCTCTACGCTAGAACAAAAGACTATGCGAGCGCAGCAATATGATGCGCGAGACAACAAGCTCCACCTCAATGAAGTACCTATCCCACAGCCCCGCGAGCATGAGCTCCTCATCAAGATGCAATGCGCATCTCTCTGTCACTCTGATGTGATGCTTTTCGAGCCCAATGAACAAGGTCTTATTCTCGGCAAGAACCCTGTTACCATCGGCCACGAAGGCACGGGCAGGGTCGTTGCGACTGGGTCAGGAGAAGTAGCCAGGAAGTTCAAAGAGGGAGATGCAGTGGGTTTCCTCTGCGCCGTCGACTGCTGCTTCGAGTGCTATTCCTGTAAGAACGTCAGTAATATCTGGTGCTCGACGGGTCAGACCAAGATACAGGGATTTAGTGCTGATGGGTATTTT